GTCAAGAGACTCAGACAGGAGGGGCATAATGAGCAAGGTTCCTGAGAGATGCTGTGATAGAGTGATGGGTCCCCTTGGTTTTGTGGAGGAGCAGAGCCCAAGATAACAGCATGGCACATGGATGAACTGTGTGACCCCTGACCACATAGCACAGCTGTGAATGAAGATGGCTCACATCTGGCAAAGGCTGAGGATGTTATGACATAGCTTCTGAGTTTGTAGTTGGTCTAAGTTTCCCCAAAAAGTTTGAGTTCACTTCTGTTATCTCTGTGGTCACCTTAGGTTCAGGTCTAAGAGGAGAATCCTGATCCCAAGTTACAGCTTAACATGATCAGATCCATTTTGTTTGTGACCACCACTGCTTACTGGGTAATCATCTCAAGCATCCAAGTTCTGGTTATTATTAATATTATTTTTGGGAGATCAGGACTATTATTATTATTAAGATTGTCAAGATCACTAGCCGTTAGCTGAGCACCCATTGGTTATCCGTATTGTTTCCTCCTGACCTTGAATGTTAATGGTTTTATAAGTGTCCCTGTAGACTCGAGCTGGGTGGAGTCCATCACAACCCCTTCCTCCTGCCATAGGGCCTGGCTACTGCTTCAGACATTCTTCAGTTTCAAAGTCTCTGATGATTTGTATTCTGTGTGATCTGAGATCTGTCTTTTTCTTCCATTTCTTAGCCCCTTCTGTCTTGGTGGAAGACTCTTATTCCCCCCAACCACTACCACCACTACACAAGTCACTACACTGGGATCTGGGTGCAGTGATGACCCAGGGTGGGCAGTACTGTCTGTGTGATGGGAAATGTCTTGATGAAGGTGAAGGCTGTGTGAATGTTGTCAGACTCTTAGGGAAGTGGTAGGTGGATCACATTCCTGTTTTCCTGGCTCCACCTTCCTGGCTTTGCTGCTGTCTCCTAGTGGCATCTGTGACCCACCGATGCTATCTGCCTATCTGCTCCGGGAGTCAGAGAGGGGAAGGGATCCCAGACAGATGGGAAAGAGTGGGGAGGGTGCATAATCAGGAGTGATGAGAAATTTCTCATGTCCACTGACAGAACCACCCATGTCCAGGCTGCACTAATCTCCACCACCTTGTGCAGCAGGTAAAGCCCAACGTAGAAACCCACAGAGCTTTGTTTAAAAGGCCTGCAAGTCCTTGCCTGACAACAGGACAAGAGGAAACCTTTGAAGAATGCTATTCAAAATATTTGATGATAACGTCATCAGGATTCTTTTAATACTGCTTAGATTTCAGGTAACTGAGATTTTCCCCCCGAGCAGATCTTCCCTCTCCCCTCTCCTTTGATCTTGAGACAATGAGTGAGTTTTGAAGCTGTGGGATTCGGGCTCCAGGCCTACTCAGGCTTTGCTCTGGAATTCCCAGTGGTGAGGATGAGCAGGAGTACGTGGTTGCAGTGTGAAAATGTACAGTCTTATGAGTGACAGGTCAGAGGAGAGTATGAGGTACCCATCAGGGTGCAGGGTGGATAGTCTGCATCCTCTATCCAAGTGATTCTGATGTCTTCTGGACCTTGAGGTCCTGATGTTTGGGTGGTATGGAGTGTAGGAAGGTGAGCAACCTGACCCTCTAGGCAGGCAGGAGTGCCCCCCTGTAGTTATGATAATGAGAGTACCTTATGCATTTATGCTAATGGGCTGGGGGTTCCCTAGCAAGAGACAGTCTCAACCCAGCAGGGTGGCTACTTCTCTGCCAATCCCTATAGATGTCCATACATCATCTGTGGGAAGCTCAGAAACTTCACAAGAAACTTCTATGAGCAGGGTCACCTTTGCAGAAGCTCCCAAAGTCTGACTAGCTCTCAAGGCCTGACCCATCAATTTCAAAGTGGGGTTCATTTGTGCTTCTTATCAGCTAGACATTCAGCTGATGGTATGTTAAGTGCCTCATCTCCAGGGCCTCCATGTGCAGGTGTGCCCCCTGGCTTGCTGTGCAGACAGAGGGAAGCTCTCTACCTGCCAGCTTCCCGTCTCTCATGAGACATCTTCTCTGCACCTCCTTGATGGCACATCTGCAGTCAAGTCTTCCCTCAGCAGAACAGAACATATAGGCTGAATGTGGTTCAAGAATAGCCAGGTCACATTCTGCCCGGTTTCCATCACGTGTTCTACTTACCGTTTTACTGGGAACATGAAGAAGTTTGAATGGAAGAACACATGTAGGCTGCCCTTGGATCAGTGGATTTCAAGGGCATTGTTTAACGATCCCAGCCCTAAGATTGCAGTAAGATTCTTTTCTTTAACCTACTGCAATGAACATGGGAATTGGGCTAATGGTAAGCATTGAAAATGATGATGATGATGATGATGATGATGATGATGAAGAGTTAAAATGTAGTGCTGCTTAGTGGTCAGCTGGACAGACTTAGATAGTAAAAAAACCCTCCATTGTCCTCTGTAACATTACTTACTGCCCATCTGCTCCTCATCTGCAGTGAGGCTGTCGCCCTTCCTACTTTGGAAGAGAGAATAGATGATCAGGTGAGGTGGGAAAGGTAAAACCCCTTGCCCCTTAGAACTGGGCACAATGTTCACGAACACCCTTCTGTACAGGGGGTAGGGATGTCAGAGACCCCACTGTGGTACATGAGGCAGTGGAGGCAGGACTAAGTGCCATCCGCCCAAGCTGACTGGCTTTCACCAACCAAACTGTTGCCCAGTTGTTTTCTTAAACTCCACCCAAAAGCCTGTCCAGTCTCCGACTTGGGCTTTGTTCCTTGGACAATTTAACATCCAGCCTGGTGCATCTGCAGCTGCACCAGTTGGAGGCACTCTGGCCAGATGGTGCAGGATAAGCCGATTACTCTGGACAGTGCTGTTCTGGTTTGGGAAGATGTAACGATCTCCATTAATGTGTCAGTCTGTAGGGAGCATGATTTGAGTCACGATTGACAGCCTGACTGGTTCTGAACCCTCTATAACCTGGTGAATTCATAAATGTCCCTATTAGGAGGAAATTAAAATTAAAGCTCTGCTGGATGGGTTATAGACTAACAGGAGGAAATCTCATTAGGAAAGTGTAAGGAGATCACATTTCCCCAGTATTCGGAACAACAACCAGGCAGCATCAACTTCTTATTTGACATTAAGCACTGAAACCAGACTTTTATTGGGATCATAATGGACTTGTTTTTCTGTTCCCACAGCAGTAAACAGTGCTCATTCTGCATATGGTGGGCTGTGACTTGCCATGAAGGTCCTGAGATGGGGCAAGCACACGGGGGATGACGATGAGCAGAAACCTTGGAGCTCCTATGCCAAATCCTATATCTGTCTTGTTCTCTCTGTTTCTCTGAATGTCTACTTGCTTATCTTTCTAGACATGTCATTTGTTATAGTGTGTGTGTGTGTGTGTGTGTGTGTGTGTGTGTGTGTGTGTGTGTGCCCATTTTAGCTGAGGAACTATTGTGAGGCCCCAGGTTACTTCCCGAGCATTTACTTGCCCTCCAAGTCTCCCAGGAGAGGTAGTGGAAATCCACTCTTGGCAACAGAAGGGAAGAGAGAGAGCGCAGAAGCAGGACTCCGGTAGTAGTCAGAGCACAGCTGTTGTTCCATATGTAAGCGGCACACACAAGAAGGACATCTTCCTATCTGGATGTAGTGCAGGTCTCACAGCTCTCCTTCCACGAAGAAGCAGTTCCAATTCTTGTCTCCATCACAGACACAAGAGCGGCAGATGGCACTTCCTTCTCTGATTGGGGGAGACACGAGTGCTAGATCTTTGGTTACAGCCTTAGAGGATTCTGAAGCTGCTTTTTCTGTTGTTCAGGTGGGTAACCCCTGTGCCTCTGTCTTCAAGTTCAGGAATTCTTTCTTTTCCATTCTTTCATTGAACACACCCAAACAATCCCACATTTCAGCTAGCCCACCTTTCAGTTCTAAAATTTCTGGTCAGCCTGTCTTGTATCTTCTGTTTTCCTGTGGGCCTTTGTACTTCGCTGTTTTTCATTTTCTTCCAAGTGTATTTGTAATTATTCCTATTAGCATTCATGTAATGACTGCTTTAAAAATATTTGTTTTTGTTTCCTTCTCCTGTCTCTGTTTTATTATGCTCTGCATTTAGACTTTATTACACATTTGTGGTGATTTAGAAGAAAATGGCCCCCAAAGGGAGTGGCACTATTTGGAGGTGTGGCCTTGTTGAAGTAGGTGTGGCCTTGTTGGAGGAAGTGTGTCACTGTGGGAGTGGGCTTTGAGTTGTCTTTTGCTCAAGCTTCCCTCAGTGTGACACCCAGTCCACTTCCTGTTGCCTTCTGATGAAGATGTAGCCAACATGTTTACCTGCCCATGCCATGCTCTCTGACTTGATATAACAGACTGAACCTTTGAAAATGTAAGCTGCCCCCTCAATGAAATATTTTCCTTTATAAGAGTTGCCGTAGTCATGATGTCTCTTCCCAGCAAGAGAAACCCTAACTAAGACAACATTGGTTAGGAAGGATTTTCTTTTGATGCTGATGAGTCTTTAGTTTGGAATTCTAGGTTCTTCAGCTTTTAGTGCTCTCCCGGGAGTATTTTTGATGGGGATGATGAAGAAGAATGTAAGCTCAGCACAGTCCCCACAGTCCATCTTTTCCTTTCTGAGTAATAGGCCAAAAAAAGACTGATTATGCACAATGTAACTAGAAAAACACCGCTGGCATTTCCTGTGACATTCTCATGTAAGTCATATGGGGCAGGGGCAAGAACACTACCTTACCCGTGTCTACAAGCTACTACCCATGAATGGACCAAAGCAAGGCAGGGATATGGTTGAGAATGTCTCCTTGATCCTACTACTTTTTGAACAGTTTTTGTTTTTTATAAAAAATGTGGGTCATCTATGTACTCCTTTCTTTTTCTTTTAGGACCACAGATGTGTTTAGGGATGACTGTTTGGGACTAGGCAACCTATCATGGAGCTCATCCATGGAGAAAACTGAGTCTTCCTCCTTCAGTAGCCATTAATGGCGTTTAGTTCTTTACCCAGCACTGGGGCCTTGTGAAATTTCCCTATCCATGCTGGCCAGTCAACTGGTGTTGCCACTGCACAGGTCTTGTTTAGGTGACCATAATGTTGAAATTTTATGGGTGTAGCCTCTCTGTCATACCTAGAAGATACCATGGAGCAGCAGGCGTTCCTGGTCCTCCCTCCGGGCTCTTACAATCTGTGTTCCTCTCTCTTCTGTTATGTTACACGAGCCTCAAGTGTAGGATTTGTGTGCAGCTATAACAATAGGGGCAGAGTGGTCTTCACTTATTCTCTGCATTTTGACCAGCTGTGTGTGATAACTGTGATAACTGTAACAGTCTCCATCTTTTGCAAAAAGAAGCCTTTTTTTTTTTTTTTTTTAAATGAGGGTAAGAACCTATCTGGGGCTATAAGGATAAGTATTTCAAATACATTAAGAAATTAGTTTAGGAAAACAGCAGTAGTAGATTCTCCTCGAGGGCCTATGACCTCTCCAGCCATGGTAGTTGGTTAGATTTACAGCACCAGGCATGAACTCCATTCTATTGAGCAAGTCCAATTAGACAGATGCTGGTTATTCTCGAGATAAAAGTGCCACTATTGCACTTTGAGGATGTTTGGCCTGGCCAGCCATTTTTAGTTCATAGGCTTTACAGCTGGTTGTGATCATTGATTGCTTTTTTTCTCTTGACAGTGTACACGGAGCCTTTGGGTACTGTGAGAGCTATTTCTCCTGGAGGAGGTAAGCTCATTGATTCTTTCTGCTTCTTGGGAGATCGTACATAAGATTTCGAATCTCAGTTATTGTGTTTTTCAGTCCTAAACCTTACATTTGGTTATTTATATCTTCTACTTTCTCCTGTGGCTTTTTGTTTCTTATTTTCATTTCTCCTGAGTACACAGATAATTGCTTAAGAAAATATTTGGATGACAGGTAGCTGAAAGTCTCTGTTCCCTGTCTTGCTAATCAGCCTTGCCATCAGCCCTCGGTCTACAGAGAATAGCTCCTTTGGGTCATTTTTTTTCTTTCTGTGCCCAGGGCCTTCTCCATCCCCCTGTCTGGAATATAGTAGGCAAGAAGAAATTCCAAGGAATTCACCTTGGCGACCCAGGATCTTACTTTAGCCAGTTTATCTTCTTTCCATTTCAGGGTCCTATTATGTTTTATCTAAAGTGGTTAGACTTCTTGGTTACACTTGGCAGAAGGAACAAGGAAGTAACTCCATTATAATTTTCCATAACAAGAAGTGTGGAGTGGGGTGGGGTGGATGGAGGTGGAGGCATGTCTCCAGTGGGTGGAACCACGAAGAGCACATCCCAGTGGGCATGTGAAGCACAGTGCATAACCACATACAGTAAGCATAATAAAATCTGGCCAAAGATTTCTTAAGAAGTTGTGTTCTTGCTTCAGACCAGGGAGCTGAGGCTAATAAGGTCTTATTCAACAATTGCGCCACAGAAAAATAAATAATAAAAATTAAGCAAAAAGAATATTAAAAGAAAGAACTCTGGTATAAGAGATTTTTGTTCATGGAAGGGACATAAGTAATGGGCGTGAGATCAAAGGAGCATCGCTTTGACTGTGAGGCTAGGAAGATGGCTGCTCTCTTTTTATTAAAGCCTTAGATACCTACCTGAGTCACACCTAGAACACATGGAGAGTTAGCACACAGGATGCAGAAATCCTGCATTCACACAGGAAGTAGGGAGGGGCTTTTGTGCAGAAAGAACAAAACAGTATATGCAAATTGAACACTGGTTGAGGAAATACAATTAGAAACCCTTGGAACTTTCCATTACCATGTGAAAATCAGGCAAGTTGATTGTGCCTGGATAGCCCTGAAGGGAGAACTCAGGAGTCTTGGAAGACTGCACTAACTCCTTCTCTCAATTGTCCTTCTCTCCATTGTTCTTGGAATCTCCTGTCTCCACCCCTCCTCACCTTCCCCCACCCCATGTATAACTCCATACACCTGAGCCGACTGTGAACACACACAAGCCATGCTAGATGGTGAGGTATTGAGAAGTCAGTAAAGAGAACAAGAGTCACAAAATAAATATCTAGATACATGGAGAATTGCTAATTCAACATCTTCTCTCCAAATGTTAAAGTCAACAAAGGGATCCAGTTCCTTTCTCAGGGAATAAAGACGCTTAAAAGGCAACTTTAAAAAGGAACTGCTTCACGATGAAAAGGTCCAGATGTGCTGATGTTTTAAAAATATTTTTAAGTAAAAATATGACCGCTGCAATGAAGGTCTCACAGTTCTCTGTTTAATGTGGCTATCGTTTAGAAGGGAATAAGACTATTTATAAGCTAGGAGCATTTTAATTCTTTAAGTTAGGAGTAGATTCCAAGTTTTACAGACGAAGCTTTTGAATTTTGAGACTGTGTTAGAGCAGGCGACTTTGTCAGCTTTAAAAAGCATAATTGCAGTACAAACAAATCTCCCGCTGTAGTTCCAGGCATCTTGGCAACAAGGTCCTTGGCTTTAAAGTTTAAAGCCTAGTTTAAGAACTGAAATTTAGAGCCATGCATGGTGGTGCACATCTGCAATTTCAGAGCTTGGAAGGCATCAACAAGAGGATTACCACATTAGAGGTCGGCCTGGGCTACATAGTGAGTTCAAGGCCAGTCTGTGCTACATAGCGATATCCTGTCTCGAAACAACAAGAGCAAATCAAATAAAAGGAATTGAATTTCAGTAGCTAAATAGATGTGTGGCAGTCATGCACGCATTGTTTATAAGCAGTTTGTGATTGCGTCTACAGAAGCATTAACTTTGGGGTCCAGATGTCAATATCATGTGCTCTGCCGGAGCTGCTTTCTGCTTTCTTGCCTGTGAAGTTTCTAAGATGGGGATTACATATTAATCTTTGATATGTAGGCCTTTGATCAGGCTTTTAGGGCTGACCTCACAGTGGTGAGGTTTGTCCATGTGGTTTCATGTTGTGCTGCTCACTCCTCCTCACTCGGCACGGCCTTCTACTGGGTGAACACAGACATCTGTGGGTCATTTTATTCCTTGTAGTTTTCACTACTCATGCCACCATTAGAATTCTTACGGGATGTTTTTCATGTAGATGGCCTGCATCCTTGTTACCTTGCACGTCTGCATCTGTGCATGGTTTCCAGGTCCTTAGTTGCAATTTCAGGGTTTGTAGCTGCTACTCATCAGTGCAAAACGATGGGAGGCAACATTGGCAGGTTGAAGCCAAGGGGCCCTAAAAAGTCATGCCACACGACAGAACTCACAGGGAGAACTTATTGGGGGAGGGGAAGAAAGGGATGCACAGTGTGCTTCTGGAGATATAGTGCTGAGGACAGAGGAGGAAGAAGAGAGGAAGCGAGAGGAAGAGACCGAAAAGGGGGAAATCAAGGATATACAGATGTGGCTTCATAGGAAGAGAGACGTGAAGCAGTTTGCCTTTAATAAGGGGATTTGGCGCATGCACATAGAGACTACACAGCCATGCAGCGCATGCACACAGACTACGTAATGACGCGGCTGTAGGACCTTGGGGCTGGCTAGGTGATGCCCAAAATGCTAACAGTGAGTCTCTTGAAGGGTTGTGCCAATTTTCACTAGGGTTGCACTTGAGTTCAGATGATTTCCCTTTCTTTCTGTGTTCTTCATGTCCCACTGGGTCATGGCGACTAATTTCTCAGTAAAAGCTTGGAGATAAAGAGAATGCAGAGAAAGACAAATTCATGTTCCTTGAGAGCGTACAGTAGTGTAGCCATTGTGGAAATCAGTGCTGAAATTACTAAAAAACCTGAAAGAGAACTACTATATAGCTCAGCATGGCGCTGAGTATCATCTAAGTGAGTGTAAATTTACATGTTATAGAGATGCTTACACACTCGTATTTAGAGTCCTGTTATTCTTAACAGTCAGGAAATGGAGCCAGCTTGTGTTGCATACATAGAATAGAATTTGCCACAGCTGTAAAGGAAACTGAAGTTGTGACAGTTTTCTGGAATCTGGGGAAATGAACATAAGTTGAAATCATGTTAAGCTAAATAAGCCAGCCTCAGACAGACAAATTTCATATTAATTACCTAGATTTAAACACTATGTGTTTGCAGGTTAAAAAAAAAAATCTATAAAGGGGATTACAAGATGGAAGGAATAGGTCTTCAGGGAGGTGGGAAATAAAGGGGTAATGGAATACACGTAAGAGGAAAGTGGGAAGGGGGACTAAATTGGGGGAAGGAAGGGAACCAGCTGCAGGTAGGGCATGTGTGGAGGAGGCAGTGGTAGAGTAGAACCAATAAGCGCCATGCACAATGGCACATGTGTATGGCATGTCATGATCAAACATACTTTGTATGTTAACCAAAAGAATTAATAATAATTTTAAAAAGGACTACAACAAAACAGATTTTATTAATAGGCGGTCTAGCTGGAGCCAATCCTCACCAAAAAATTGGTATCTCTGCCCATACAGTGATCCTTCAGTACTACATGAAAATGCCTACCCTGGATCTTCAGTGCCTGTGGGCTGGTCCTCACCTGCTGTGTCTTTGTGATCAGTGAAACACATGCGCTTCTCACCTCTTCAAATACATTTATTCAATTCCTTTGGCATGTATTCAGCATCCCTTATTTTATAGTCTCTTCTACTCATAACTCACAGTGATTTCACCTAATTATCTCTAAGAGCAGCGTGTTAACTTAACTCAGGGCTGTTTGTTTTCTTGAGTGAGACCAGTGTCCACACTAGCTGGGCTCTAAGCAAGGCAGGCCTTGGCCATGATCTTCTGGACAATGTTTTCTCCAAAGATAAGCTTTGTAAGAATTCCTGAGAACTGATGGTGTTAGTCTGTGTTACTGTAAAAATACACAAAGTGGGGCAGTTAGAGAGATTTCCATGGCTCATGATACTGGTGACTGAAACCTGGAGACACCATGGCACTGGTGTCCTGATGAGGGCCCCTGGGTACGTTTCAGCATGGCAGCTGGTACCAAATGGCAGGAGTATATTTGTGAGAGCTCATATGGAGACTGAAGAGGCAAGCCAGCATGGTGGTGGAAGCTGGACTTTCTCTGTTATAATAAGCACCCACTCTTGTAGGAACTAACTGGTCTTTTGAGAAATACGTTAATCCCTTCTGAGAGTGGTGCCCCTACCATCTAGTCAACACATTACACTGGGGTTCAGCTTCTAGTATGTGAATCTTTGGCAGACACACTCAATCTGCACACAGTATCCCTGTCCACTCAGGGCACACAGTATCCCTGTCCACTAAGAGCACACAGTGTCCCTGTCCACTAAGAGCACACAGTGTCCATGTCCACTCAAGGGACACAGTGTCCCTGACTGTTTGGAGACACTGTGTCCCCGTCTACTCAGTGTAAAGCCAGAGTCCCTCAATCAAATGAGTCCCTCTCCATCTCCCCTGGCTCATTTACCTTCTCCTGGTTGTTGATGGGTTCCCAGAGCCTCATACATCTCAGACTCCTGTCCTGTCCACAGCCCCCACACATCCCTCCTCCTAAGGTCTTTCCTAAGATGGCTACTGTCTCTAGCAGCCTCTCATTGAATTATGCAGCTGGCTTTTCACAACTCTCTTCTGCGTCCTCTATGCTACTCAGATTATTCCAATATTTTCATAGTATTTCTCCATCTCTAGATTTAGTGCCTTGTTACTGATCTTTGCACCAAACTGGAGCCATAGCTCCAAGGATGTGATTCTTGTGCCTTTCTGCCCACAAATACTTTCTGGCATCTGGCACAGAGCATACATTGGCTATTTCCTGCTCGGGGTGTGTGTGTGGGGGGGTGTGTGAGAAGGAATCAGTAATTCATTCATTTAACTTCTAGGAGAAAGGCACCACGAGAAGCCTCCACAGCCCTGGAGCTGTGGGAGAATACCCGAGGGTATCACAGTGGCTGCAGTGACAGTGGTGTTCCTGACTTAGAGATGACACTGAGAGTATCCACCCATAGAATGAGAGCAGGTGTATGTGGCCAGGGACAGTGGATGGGTACACTGTCTCAGAGAAGTCTCCCCATCATGGGCTGAGCTTCCCATGTCTGCACCAGTCTTCCCTGGGCATCCACAGACCCAATGTGTCAGTAAGGTTTCCCATGTGAATTTCCCTGTGGAATGCATCTAGGCAGGAGCAACTGGCTGTGGGAATGTCACTTCAGTTATTCCTGCCTGCTGCCTGTTTGGTTGTGTCCTAACTTAAGATATCTCAACAGAGTCGGCGCTTATGGAATCCTGACGAGTGGTATTGGCATGGTGATCAATTGATACACAAATGCTGATGTCCTCTTGGGGACAGGAAGTGGCACTTTACTCTGAGTGACAAATGTAAGGAGTTCCTTACCCAGAGGTCATGTTGGTCAGGTATACCAACAGGGTCAAGAGAGATTACAAGCCCCCAGCAAGTAATAAATGGCAGAGGGGTGATTTGGAAATACTGAGTCCATCCTTCTGCCTTCTGTGTTTATTTTTTTCCATTAAAAGTACACTTCCATTAAAAAAATTAGAAATGCCAAACAGGAAAGGCAAAAAAAATTAAATACATCTAAGAATAAGATATGATGGTGGCTGTTTTGTTCCAATTTCTTCAATCCTATTTTGATGACTGTACAATTAAACCTACTCTATCTAAACAATTCTATATCTTGTTTTACAATTTGACACAATACCATAAATATCTAACCAAGGCATTTGCAGTTCCTTGCAAGCATTTGCTAAATGATTTGAAATACCCAAGAATATTGGGTTATTTCTAAGCATCCTGTAATATATAACACTGTACATAGAATTTCAGTTAGAGTTTCTCCTTTTGGTTATTTTTTTTTCAATGTGCTAAGTTTTTGTTGTTGTTGTTGTTGTTTTGGTAAAATTTGTCCATGCAGATGACTGGATAAAGGATCTAAGCAGTGGGTTAAAAGCACGGATGCCTTGTACTCAGCACCCGTAGGAATCTGGCTTGACAGGACTGCAGCGCTCTGCACCATGATGCCCATTTAGCTTACCAGGTGACCTCTGCACTCATCCCACATCTTACAGGGCAAACACAATGGTTAAGACAGTCAGCCAAGCATTGTCCTGGCCACTGATGACACACTATTTCTCGACGGATACTTGACACGTTGACAGTTTTTGAGAGAGGGCAGTTGACTCTGGTGGGCCAAAGCCCATCTTTGTCAAGCTTGGCCCTGAAAGCCTTCCTCCTGTGTGGAGAGCAGAGATTCTTTTGTCTGCTGCTGTCCAGGACATGCTTCTGCCTGGAGTCCCTAAGAAATCACAGGCTGTGTAATCCTGGGTCTGTTTGCTTCTTTCTTTGGTATTTTGATCCCTTTTGACTTTCACAGGTGGTTCATGTTACCGGGACCTGGTTTGCTTCTCCTAAACAATGTACACTGCATTGCTGAAAGAATGGTTCCTATCAAAAAGACTGATGATAACAAGAGCTGGCGAGGATGTGGAATGCTGTGCACACTGTTGGAAGGAGCGTAAGTCAGCAAAGCTATTACAGAAAAGCAGTCCTCAAGAAGTTTAAAGTAGAACTGATGTAGCTACTCCATTACTGGGTATCCATCCAAAAGAAATGATTGTAGCATCTTGAAGAGACATCTGCACTCTCCTATTCATTACAGCCCTGTTCACAACAGACAAGAAACTGAAGTGACCTAGCTGCCCACTATCTGATGAATAAATGAAGTAAATGTGGTGCATGTACTAAATGGGCTCTCAGAAGAATGAACACCTGTCGTTGGTGACAACATGGATGGAGCTGGCGGTCATTGTATTAAGTGAAATAAACCAGGCACAAAAAGACAGGCACCAGGTACTTTCACTCACCTGTGGACTCTAAGAATTGCTGATCTCACAGAGGACAGGAGTAGAAAAGTGTTTACCAGAGGCTGAGGGAGAGCAAGGGCATGGGAGGGGAAGACTGATCGATGGGTATGAAGATACAGTCATGGACGATTAGGAAGCTGAGGGTGCTGACGGTGAACAGTGACCATAGACAACAGTTCGGTATTTCTGTTCTATGTATTCCTGTGTGTGTGTGTGTGTGTGTGTGTGTGTGTGTGTGTGTGTGTGTGTGTACCGCAGCGTTCATGTGGAGGTCCAAGGACAGCCTTGTTTGTTGCTTTCATAGGCAATGAAAGTATCTCACCTTTCAGTTTTCATCTCTTTTATCACTAGTGGAGTTAACCCCATACAGAGGCCCCATAATT